ACCTTTTGAAACGCACTTGAATCGCCTATTTTCAACTTGCGATTCAACTTACCATGAACCAAATTACCCAGTTATTTGGTACTAAAGGTGATGTCAACGAGGAAGAAGAGGGAGGAGAAAATGGAGGTGGGGTGGGGGGGGATTTGACTGCAATTTGGTTTAGTTCTTTAGAAGACTTTATTGAGGACTGTGGGAAAATAATTGATGAGATCCAATATCTCATGCTTCACTCCATCATACATATTTGTATTAAGTAGTTACCACTTTTGATTATTTATTTGTCTCATTGTGCAATGTACTTAGTCTGTGAGGGACATGAGTATGAGGGAATTTGCCTTGCCATCAAGTGTACCTCACTTGTTGTAGTGTGTTCTTGTTAGTGACTTCTCTGAGTTTTCATACAGTTTCAACCAGAGCATATTAGCCTCAATTCCTTACTTCAGTTATCAATAAATGAGTATTTGGGAACCCAATGCACATGAGGTATATAGCTTGGAAATGGAGAAGTCTATACTACCACTCAATAGCTGTCAGATATACACCGAGGCCTCAAACACAGGAGAATAATTGTTGGTCCATGAAGTGAAATATAAATATGCTCATATATTTATGCTTGTGCTTAAATCAATCCATGCGTTATCGTTGTCACCATCAGCAGGAGGAGGAGGAGGAGGAAGAGCAACAGGGGCAACAGCATAACAGTAGGATCTTCTCAAAATAAATATTGCACGGAAGAGATTTAGCAAGAAGAATAAAGGAGATGTAGAGATGGGGAGAGGGGGGGGGGAGGGAGAGTGAGAGAAAGAGAGCCAAAGCTTAGGTGGGAGCAATAGGTCGGTTGGGAGAGAGATAGAGAGTGAGAGGGGGTTGGGCTTAGTTACCAGCGCTTGGAGGCTTGCAGGAGGACAGGTGATAAAAGATTGAGTAGGTGTGCGTGAATATTTGGGTTAATTGGTGCAGGCTGGGGGAGGAGGGGAGGGGGTTGGAGGAAAGAAAAGGACAAGGAAAACACAAAAGGATATGATTTTGGTTTGATACCTACTTCTTCACTGCCGAGCTCTTCTTCGCACTTCTAGGAGCAGACGTTGGCGTTATGACATTCTTGTCTCCAGAGTCATCTGCTGCCTTGATGAAAGCAGCCACGCAGTCCTTGGGATGAGTTGGAACCTGGGCAGGTGGCATTCGCTCATTAATTTTATCGATTGCTTTTGCCTCGGCAAATGAACTGATCTTCGCGTGTGGTGATAATGCCGCTGTAAAATAGTAAAACATGTATTCAGAATTTCGATCATTTATCTAAAAACGAAACGTCTGATCAAGGTTCTACCTTGGATGGTCCAAACCTTGTGCCAATTCAGAAACTAGATATTTAATTTTGATGGGTACGCGATAGACTTACTAATACGACAAAAAAAGGTTTATAAACCGGCAGTTAACTTCTGATTTCAAACAACCAAGACCCCACGGCATGTCATATTCCACCACTTTCACAGTACTCACCTTACCCTTTCTCTACCTTTATGTCTGTCTCCTTTACATCTATGGATCACTCTTCTACTTTCCCAACCTCATCGACTTTCGTGACTTTGATGTTCCTCCTCTCCGTGAAGTCCGAAGTTAATTAAAGGGGCAATGACAGCTACCATAAAGCCTGCCATTTGATATAAATAAATATTTGATTTTGAAAACATTTTTCTTATATTTATAATCCATTTTCAAATGACACATGAGAACATTGTATGTGAATCGACAGTTTCATTACATCACTTTTAAAGTAAATGAA